GGCCACGTATAATCCACAGTTATTAATAATTCAAACAAAGCATTATCCCTTCCCATTTCTTGGGAACGAAATCTCGTTTGCGTTGTTAACAAGCAAATATAAGGATAAATTCAGTAATAACTTGGGGCTTTACGTAAATTGTAATATAACGTGTACATGCGCTGATTTACAAATAAGAGTTTATGACGTCATACGTCACTATTAATTTTGGCGGGAACAAAATTATTATTAGTAATAGTAAGTGGAAAGTTAAGGTTAATAAATACTTTAAGTTGTGTCGATACTGCCATAAATACTTGTGTCCTGTGTTACAACAATAAAAAAAATCTACAAAAGTCAGATTGAATCAAGCTGAAAAAATAGTTGCTGTATATCCTTATTGGGTTATTCGACCAAAAGGCTTAAACGTTCTTTTATAAAATATTTCAAAAATAGTCATTAATTTAACCACAACAAGGAATATGAAATTTGATATTCGACTTGACCCTTGAAACAGTAGTCGTGGCATTTGCGGAGATAGGCGTGAGAAGGTTAGTCCAGAAGCGCTCGCTTGCCTGAAAAATCAATAGACGCGCGCAACCGCCCTCCCTCCCCACACCCCGAACAACCCCCGTTGAAACCACTCTAACTTGTTTAATACTGAACTCAAGTCTTTATACGGCAGTATCCGGGACAAAGATCAACTTATACTGGTCGAACATAAAGATCCACTATCTAGTATATGCAGATGTTGCGCAGCTGTTCAGATGACACTAAGCTTTTCCGTTGTGCAATCTGACCTTTACAATTTTCTATGTATAATATCCTTGAAAGAATATTACTTTCTTTAAATCGTAACAACTTAAACTATTATGAGAAATGGCAACATAAAATATAAAAAAACTCTATCATTTTAAACACAATTTTTTATTATTACTAAAAGTTAAATTTTACATTTTATTTTACTACTTAAATAATTGAAATAATCCTTAAGTAAAGTTATTCCATTTCGTCTGGCGAGTTCATTTTTATATGAAAAAATCGTACTAGCACGGTATGATATTCCAACGATTTTACTTCTACTTACTATACTAAAATAATAACCTTGAAGAGTTTTTTAATTAACATTTCGAAAAAACAAAACACTTGTTCGGTATTGTAACCTGCGCCGAACAGAGCGAAAACAAAGCGGGCTTTTATTAAAAGCTTAAACGTGGGCGAATGAAAACCCCGTGAATACTAAAATATTGTGAACACGTGTAACCTTTAATAAATGTCTTATTGAAGTTTATATCAAATTTGGTAACATAAAAGATCTTAACTAATATTAAGGTTGGTCTTTTTAAAAGCAATAAACAGCATCGGTGGCTCAGGGTTCAGGGTCAGGTGGCACTTGACTATCTGCAGGTCCTGTTCGAATCTCGCCATGTACCAATGTGTTTTTCGATTTTCGATTTGACGAAAACTATATTTTAACTATAAATAAATTATTTAACAAAAAGACCGTAACCGTAGTCTAAATATAATAAAATGTTGCATTAAGGGCCTATCCTACAATGTCCAAGTAGGTTCTGAATAAGTTACTTGGAACTTATTTGTCAGTTAGAATCGTCATTGGCAGTTCACAATCCGGCAATAAGTGGTGAAACACAAACATAAAGTAATCTTTATTTCAGCTAATTTATTTGTTAATCAGTTATCCAGCCCTTACTAATGCAACATTGTGAAATAGGTTATGGCCTATAGTGCTGCATTTAAATTCATAGACTAAATAAGAAAACTACTGTCGAGTATTTTTAAACTTTAAAAGTTCTTTTGTTTTATTCAAGCCTCGACAGACAAAGACACTATATGTTCCAACTATTGTGGAAAAAGGTATATTTCTATTAATCTATATTAATGGCAAAATGCACTATCTCAAATAAGTAATAAGCATGAAATAAATATTACTAATTTGCAAAGAGTTTTCTATTATTTTAAAGAATTTTAAGCTTAAAATTTAATCCAATTTGCGCCTTCCGCGGAACAACTTCGAAACCTTTTGACGATGTGCTTACGGCGACCTCTAATTTAATAGGCATGGCTGAATTTTATTAAAATTGTGTTTGAAGAACTCTTAAATGAATGATATTGATTTAAGTTAAAAATCGGACCGAGATATTAAACGAAAGAATTTGAAATTCATTTAATGCATTGGTTATAGATGTTTGAATTTTGTAAGTCTTCTAAAATAGGTAAAAAAACTTCATGTTTTTTTGGAGTAAGATGGCAAATTACGTATCTACGACTAATATGATAATCTGCTACTTAATATAAAATGTCACAAATTAAAGAAACGTAGCATTTTTAAAGTAAGGTAAAAATTATAATTGCTTAAGAACAGTATCAAAAATTAAATGCAAAATAAGTGTAGAGAACCATACTATAGTTTATAGGCACTAAAAGTAAATATGGACCATAAAAATGCTATTATTACTGTTAGCTATAAATTGCTAGAACACCCGTACAAAACCTGTTATTCTCCTTGTAAAAACTAAGATAACAATATAGGTGTATAGACAATGAAAACTGAGTAGGACATTCAAATTCGTTTCATGTAGCTTTAAGAGTTCTAAGGTATCTTTTTTATGAACTCTTCCCTCATCTATAAATCCTTTTTTTTAAAGAAGAGGCAAAGGAGGAAGCCCATAAACACAATAGAAACTGTGTTGCCTTTGTGGTGCACACTGTCTTCATGATGGACTTTAGTTGTAACTCTTGGGACGTAACAGTGTGGACAGAGTATTCCATTACGCGGCTGTGTCAGGAAGGGCATTTCAAATTTTTATTTTATTGAAATGTATTATGTATTTGTAAGTAGTGTAGTTTATGTAAGTCAAAATATAATGTCAAGAGAAAAACCTATGTGCACTGTAGCATAATAGGACGAGATGGTAATTTATTGATGCAATCTAAATAAAATTATGCAATATAAAGTACTAATAAAATTCATAAAATATTATATTTTATCAAGTTTATTAAGATATATTTATAAATAATCTTAAATAGTGATGATAATATGATTTCTAGAAACATCTTTCAACAAGTCACACCCTAGAGCCTGTTACTTGTAGACTGTAAATTAATTTCTTAACTTCATTAAAACTTTTAATGAAGTAGACAAGTCTCTATGTTGTGCAGAATTATGGATAAACTATTAATTTTGTTGTTGATTTTGCTTCTCCAATTTGCTTTGCTCTCCTTTGCTTCTACATACACCAATTAGTAATGGACAATACATTTACTAATTATGGGACTGTCATTACACATGTACAAAAAAATATTCACCTCTATAATTTTTTTGACAAAAAAAGAATGGGTTAAAAAATTGTATGCAGGTATTAAGTGAATTGAATTGAACAGTTATGTAAGCTAAAATTCAAATATACATTACACATGTTGAGTAAATTATACTCAAACTATTAATTCTCTTTTATTTTGCAAATATTTCAATTTAAGCACTTAAAAATGACAAATAATTGCGTTCATTTATTTTGCGTGAGAGCGTTGTTATGACTCACAGATTCGTAATCACAATCTGAATCATTACTACAAAAATCCTGTTTGAATGTAACACCAAAAAAAAATTAACAAAGGAGTGTTTTTTAGTATACAATTGAAGCTAGAGATTTCTGAATCATAATCATATTTTCATATTTCTTAATACTTTAATCTTGAATATATATTATAATAATAATATTAAAAGAAATAACTATTTATTTAAGAATTGCTTGATAACTAGCAGCAGGCATTAGTGTTCTCTGACAAACTCATAATTAACTTATATACCAGACCATTCATTATTAATTATATATTTTCAACACAAATAGATAAGGAAATGTATAATTCTAAAATGTATGAAAAGTGTTTTACATATTGAAATTTGCATTTCAACAATGAAAAAATATGAACCAATAATTTTTGTTTCACTAGAATAATAATAAAACAATTACTTATGATGTACCTTGGTTTGAATACATTATCATGTATTGTAACCACATTGTATTATTAAAGGCATGTTTTGGCAAGGCTTTATACATTCACTGGAGTGGCCCCATTCAGTAAGTACTTGGCAATAATGTTAATGTAGCAATTATCTTCAAATAAGGTCAATTGCTTTAGGGAGCCAGTTTAAAATTAAACATATAAAACACTTGTATTATCTTTTTATAAAATGGATATGTGATAAATTGTCTAAAATATGCTACAAATTTATACACGGCATAAACTTAAAGCAGAAAAATATAAAGGTCTAAAAGATGTCACAAGACAAAAGAAAAGTTCATCATGCAACTATATTCCATAAATCAGCTGCCACTCACACATATCTTAGTCATATCTTCTTGCACACAATCCATCCATATCGTAATAACAATTACAAGGAACACAAATGATATTGGATCATATCTTTGTGGCTATCTCTTTCTCTTTTCACCAGAACAAACCAAGCAGTGATACCCAACATTGAAATAAAGACATAGAAATTGAATTAGTATAAAATGGTTTGGTCTTACAACTGTTGGTGGATTTTTAGAAATAAATTGGTTTTAAGAGTTAACATTTGGTTTTTGCTGCATATTTTTTGAAGTTTAGATTTAAAATATTGATGTCCATCATTTATTAAAGAAATTTTACCTGAAGGCAAATTTAAATTTAAATTTCAAAGATTAAGGATTTCATTAAATTAACTTTAATGATTGTTGGTTAATTTATCATACGTATTTTGGTTTACACGAGTGTTTTTGGACATTTATAAAAGTGAAGTTTTAATCACGAATTTGACGTCAGCTGTAATATTGATGAGAAACAAAACATGACATCATCTTGTAGGGCGGTTAATGATATTCTAATAAGTTCTTATCAAAAATTGTTTAGTTCGGCAGTATGTTAAGTACGTACTTGCGTTATTGCAAAGAAAATACTTTATGTTGCGCAAATAATTATTGATAACTTTTTAATGTGTGTTTAAATGGAGCACTTACTTGAATTTGTGTCTAGCACCTAGCTAAAACAAAGCAGCCGAAGTCACTCGTTAGCACACCCACTAGGCACCAAAATACAGAACAAGTATGAAAGTAATGAAAGACTTTCACGCCTACAAGCAGTCGTTCGATCGACTCTATGAGGTTAGCTCTCGAAATGCGCAATGTTTTGACTATGCGCATTGGTAACTGTTTTCGTTGACATGCGCGTTTTGAATTTCAGTTACACTTTGAAAATCAATTAATGGTGCGACTTAAAAAATCAATTAAAAGTATTTACTTCGCACAGTTTAAGTTACAGAAGTTTAGCAGAAATTTAATTTAGAACTTGTTTTGTGTACCTTATTATATTTGCTCTTGATTTTGACACAATGCAGCTATACTACCGCCATCTATTATCTAGTAGCAAAATGTAAGTAGGTTTCTGTAGTAATACTGCCATTTCAAAAGAGATGGCAGCACCTGTACCTTTTTAAAATCGTAAATACTACTTTTCCCAATTAATTTACAAAGAATCTAATTAAATAATTTTCATCTTTACCTATCACACAGTCAAATTAATAAACTAGAGTTTTTATACTGATACTCTGCTATTTTAGTTTAAAAGGAAGGTATCTCTAAGGTTTATTTCTTCCTAATATTTGAAGACCCTCAAAGTATTGTGTTATATTTACATTTTAAAGTACCCCGTCCGGTTCATTTAATGTCAAAGCTGTGCCAGCGACTTCCTGGATTAATATTTAGAAGGGCTTGGCTGCATTCGAGGTTAGTTTTAGCTTGGTACAAACTAAGAACCACACCCACTTGTTTGCTTTCGTAATAGTACGATCTTTAAATTATTGCACGAGTATATAGAACCTGAACATTACTTTAAGCCGTAGAATCAAGCTAAACTTGCATTAACAATCACTTGTATAATGAACTTCCCTGAGAATCGGAAGTAAGATAAAGCTGTGTGCAAGTGAAAGTTTGTATAGTTAAGTGCGTACAATCTTGTATCCCGTTTGTTAAGATCTAGACAACAACTCGCATTATTATTAAATAATTTATTTAGAATCTTGTTTTTATTGTTTACATTGCTATGAAACTAAATAATTAAAATATAATCTTACTAAATAACTGAACCCCTACAAAACAAATGAATTAATTAATACTATATTAAATAAACTATATACTAAAACTAAACCAAACTAAAAATAAAACTAAACACATACAATTTAGATACATTAATAGTTTTGTATTTTAATTATAGTCGCATTCATTACAATAAAAATCAAGGAAAGTCGTAAGTCATACTATCAGTTAGGTTAGTTAATATATTTTTCTCTGTGTGATTGATTTTACTTTGTCTATAAAAATGCCTTATTTATCTTACGTATGAATTTAGTTTTTTATCTCAGAAATCGTATTTTTTTTCTAGTAATATTTGTGTTTAGTTACATTATTTTTTTGAGACTAGTATGATATTAAATTCCGTACTATAGGTTTATCATTTTGCGATAAAATTTACAATTGTTTACTCGTTACATGACAACCAGGATGACATTATCATTGTAAATTGATTTTTCTAACTCAAATACATTTTTCAATACATTACTTATTTCATGTTATATAACGTCTTCATTTATGGTTCAATTAGTTCATAAAATATCTATTAAATTAAAAAAGGAAAATTCTTATTTAATCGTAATCTCGTAAGTAATTACGATAATAAAATGATTGAATAATTTTCCATCGGATATTCCGATTATAAAATGTTCCAGAAAATTTTATCGATTGGTTGCGCCTACGCGAATATGCGGCGACGCCTATCCACTTTGAAAGAGGACCTAAAAGTAATAATGATGTAATAAAACATACTATGCATTTTTTGGACTTTGGACACTGGATTTTCCGTTAAGGGGATGCATGGGAAGGGAAAATATTCTCTTTCTGTGCATCCCCTCTTCCGTCGATTATAGGTAAGCAATGCATCTGCAATTGCAAATGTCTATGAAGAAAGGTAGCTTCGCTTATTCAGCGATTTCGGGTGGCCGTTCTCTCGTTTTTCACCTTTAAAAAAGAAAAGCGCTGTTGTGGTGACTATGTGCCTTCAATATTTTTACAGATTACGACAACGTTTTAGAAATCTACGCCAACTAAATAAGATGGTAGACATACTTTTAGTGACTTCTTTGGTGGACTTTTATGTGTCGTCCTATAAAAAAGCGTACCCTTAAACCATATCTGTGAGCTAGAACTACGCATGTTTTTGAGAAATATTTGTTGGAAAATATTATTTATCTGAAATATACAAAGATTAACAGAACGAACGACTTTATCAATTCTAAACGAATTGATAAAATACTCAAAACGATATGTATTTATCGCAATGTCGTTACTACGCCCGGGAACCTTGCGAATCCGTTGTAAGGCTTAAGTAACGATGATTTACCTCGTCTGATAAGGATTAGATCCGACTTATGATATAATTTCATTTGGAAATGATGATTTTGTACCAATATTGCTTTGTTTTATTAAGCCTAGTGGAAATTTATAAATTACCACCTAATTCTAATAAAATAGTGCCTTTTTTGCATCCGGGAAATTTTACTTACTACCAGACTATCGGGATTTTCAAAAAACGGTGTGACTTAGGGAAGACAAAAACTGTCGCGTGTTTGTAAAACTTCTGCTTTTTAGAACTACCCACCTTGTTGCCTTCTTTGGGAAAAAGAACAGGGCCCGCATTCTAGTCGCTTACATCTTCGAGGTCCCTTTTGTATATAACATAAGATAAAAGCGTACAATTTTGTACTTACTAAAAATAATTCAATATGTTTTCGGTAACTTGTTGTGTTTTGTGGTGATATATTTCTGTACATTATTCGACGCACTCAATTACAATTCATGTTATTACACGACGTTCTCAGTTTTCCTTATCCAGCTAGACCGTATAGCTTATTTCGTTAAGTAGTATTTTTATTTTATAACATAACGTGGCAAACGAGCGAGCGGCCTCCTGAAATCGCTAAATAGCGAAGTGACCGTTGCCCATAGACATACGCAATTGCATATGCGTTACCTACCTTTAATCGACGAAGGAGAGGATGCACAGAAAGAAAATATTTTCCCCTTCCATGCATCCTCTCATCCGGAAAGTCCACTTCCACTTCCCATCCTTTCTTATGAGAAAAAGGGTGGGAAGGGAAAGAGGACTAAATGAGGCCTCCGGGACGCATACTAATCAGACTGTACGCGGAATTGCTTCCACTTCACGCCTGTCTTCTGTGTGGTCGTGGTATTTCACCGGTAGTAGTTTTATTTTTATAAATAAAGGTGTTTAGTTAACATGCTGTCGCATTAGGGATATCCACAAGGCAACTTTCTTTGACCACTTTCATTCTCAATTCATATTAATCTTATCACAACCTGTATTAATGTTAAGATCTGAATGTAATTGACATTCGTGGGTTATAAAGGTGACATTAACGATATCAATGAGTAAGTTTTCAACTTGAATTATGATTTTTATCTTATTCATTATGTGCGTAACGTTTTTAACTTATCTAAATTAATTTAAATTAAAACAGTATCCTAGCAGGAGATTACAATTGTTTGTAAATTAACCTAAATTGGATGAAGTAAATATTTATTCTTAAATAAAATCTAAGGCTTACTGTCCAACAGGCCCATTATCATCAGACAGAATTTTTATTAATTTTTTTCTTAGCTATTCCTAAGGGATTTATGATGACATATAAATACTATCCGCCAAAAAACAAAACCTAGTCGAACCTGGATAAGCGAGATTAAAAGGGGACCGCAATTATTTGCTCGATAATGGAGGTTTCTCTTTTATGGACTTATGAAGGTCGTCCTTCGGGACCGGACATTGTTTCCAAGTTCGACTGTATAATATTAGATAATTTAAAAAAAGAAAGGATTATTATGAATGTTGTAAATCTATGTAGGTATTTTAATGCGCAGCCTACCAAGATAATGTATTTAAGTACCTACTTAAGTAATTAACTTAATTTATCGTTATCAGACGTGTTAACGGATCTCGCTAGCCGTTACGTGCGCTAATTAGGAATTACCTACCTGTATTCCGTCTAATTCTAAATCAGTTTTAGATCATCAGATAAATCAGCTTTAGATAAGTTTTATTTTTGTATGTTTAATTAAAAATAAAATACAGTACCTAATAAATATTGCCCATGTTACCTGGATATAGTGTAGCTTCCCAACAGTGAAAGAATTTTCCAAATCGGTTCAGTACTTTTAGAGCCTACTCAATGCAAACAAACAGTCAAATCTTTCCTCCTAAGTTTTAGAAGAGATATACATATTATCTGAGTATACCTTTGGCAAAATAAGCACGTGCCTAGAATACGAAATATTAAAAGGCAGCCAAGATGTGATGTTAAGATGTTCGATGAGGTCAGATTTCTCTCGTGTTCAAAACAAATATGCACAGTGAACCGATTAACTAAATTACTTTTATAATTACAATGTCTACTGAATAAAATATGGACATACCTAGAGAATATTTCAAGGTCATATCAATCTCAAGTGCCGTATTAAATTTTACGTCAAGATATCAAAACGTTACATCACAATATAAAGATTGTAAGCACTATGATCATGATCAGATGTTTAAAACGTAAATATAAGTTAAAGTGGTATAGTTCTTTTCAAATACCTTAACGGCCAAGGTCATCGGCCCCCTGCGCAATGCCCTTCCACCGCATCTACTCCCCGCTGCATCTAACACTGTTTTGTGCAGCGACTCGCAAAGTTCAGAGCTGCCACGATGTCTGAAAACTACTATACATGACAAGCAAACATTGAAAATAGACCTCTTCGGTAATGTACCAACTCAAGCACAAAATAACTCTGAATAATTGAAAAAAAATATTATATAAACAATCTTATAAATATAATAAAAAAGGAATTATTAGTAATAAATTTTTGTATGATATACATATAGGTCATAAATTATATTATATTGTTATAGCAGATTAATGTAGAAAGTAGATTTTGTAATTTCCTGTTTTTTATCTTTCTCACGTGTATTATTTTAGTATACTTATATTTTAAGGAAAAATGACCGAAGAAAAAAAAGTTATACGTACATTTGCCGAACATGTGAGAAGATAATTAATAGTAAGTCCAAAGAATAAGAATGAATCTCTCAAAATCTTAGTAAAAAGTAATAATTCTCGATCATCATTATTAATTACGTTATGCTAGTTCAGTAGGACAGTAGCGCTGGCCTGGAATGGTCTGAATAGGCTTACGGGCGCCTGGTAGTGTCTACATTATGACAGTTGAATTCCGGCGCTCATTATTA